TGCAAAAACAACAAACAACGATTTTAGATAATACCGACATATTTGTCACCTATTTTGAAATACTATCTATTTATAAAATTAAACACAATAGTAGGATAGCCTGCAGTAGGCTAATGTTATAATATATATTTTATACTCTAATCATAATAATATAGCTCTCTTATCAGACAAAGCCTTTTTACAGCCTTTTTAATGATGTTTTAACTATAAATATTTTTGTTTAAACTCAAAGCAAATTAGGTCTATGTACTTTAACAACTCTAAAGTTGTAAAAAGGTAAATATATATAGGGTAAATCAACTAAATTATATGACTACATCCCAATTTTTTAATATAGTGCCATGCTATGTGTATCAAATGTCCCCACGTGGTTTTTTTTCCACTATAACCTTGATAACTTCTTCAAACCTAACCTAAAAAAGCTGGATTTGCTGGGTATTGAACATTAAATATGAACCAACAAATATAAAATGATAAATCACCTCTAACATTTAAGTTGGAAGGTAAATAACATGTTTTGTAAAGATAAAATACCCCCGCCGCAGCAAACCTGCCGACTAAGCGAATTTCCATTTGTCTTAATTGATTTTCAATTAAATATATTTTAATAACATTAGGTTTAACCAGTACCTAGGTTTGCTGCTAAAAAGAAACTAATAAAGTGTGTTTTTTTGTAAAATATTGATAGCTTAGTACAAAAAAAAATATTTGATCAAAATACAAAATATATCCATAAACAAGCAAACTACAACATTTGACAATATTCCCCATAAGAATAACATGGGAATTTTAAATTTACAATTTTTTTAATTTTCTCCATTACTATTAACCGAACAAAAATACTTTTATATACTAAATTCATTGTTTTTTTAAGCTCTTTAAAAAGGTCTCAAGAGAAATTGGGAAATTTTGTGTTTTGAGGGTTAAAAGTGAGAAAAACAAATTTTTACCCCATAAAACCCCCCGTAAAGCCCCGTTCCCATGGTCCGATCATGCTGGTTCGCGAACTCATTCAAGTTTATCCCGCTTTACACCTTTAAACCAAATTTAATCAAAATCGGACAAAAATTACTCAAGTTATCGCGTTCACGGACATATATATATATATAAGTCTATATATATATATATACATATATAAAAATTTGAACGAATGGTGTTTTTGGCCTCTGGGAACATCAAAATGAAAAAGTAAATCGGTCCCGGGTCTAGGTCTTACCGTGCCACCTACGGTAATAGCTACTTCCCTATAGGGAAATTCGCTAAAAACTTACCTTGAGGCAGTAAAATCCTTTTTACATAAATATCTTCTTTATTAAGATAACAAGTAACTCCCAAGCAACACACCAAAATGGAGGGAAACTGAGGAACAGGTGGTATGAGTTTCAGCACATTCTAGTCATAGATTATTAAACTGGCTAGGTGTATCAAGTCTCCCTATGTATCAAGTGTCCCCGGTCTCCTTATGTTTTCTTTTATGTTTGAAGGCCTATACTGACTGAACCATTTATTTTCCTTGAATAATTATTTAGCAATACGTTTGCCATTGTGGAAACGATCGCAGAAGCTAGGGCTTCATGTGGCTTTCCACATTCATTATAATGTGCAAAATGACGCTAATAATACACGTCAATTTATTATTATTATTGTTTATTTAATTATTATGTGCTAATATACAGCCTTAATTGTTGCAAAATGAAGTAAAGTCCCTGACTTCGTTTTCTTTTGCTAGTTGAATTTCTTCATCCTGTTTACTCTTCTTTATCCTGTTGCCTTCCTTTTGTCTTCTTTCTTCAGGAGTCTTTCTCCATGTAGTTTTTCGTGTATCAAGATATGTAGGTAAATTGGGAAAAGGTCTAGGTATGGCATTCCCACCTAAAACTGGCTTCTCACGTCTATATTTGCACTAATCACCGTCTTCATTCTTGTATTTTTCCACAAAACTAAGGTCATCTGCGTGAAAATGTTTCACGCAGACACGAGAATTGTTTGAGGGTGTCCAATCTGACCGAGGAATAGCACGAATCGACTGTTGCTTACACACTGGATCACTTGGAATCATCTATCTATCTGTCTATCTATTTATCTATCATCTATCTGGCATGATGCAGTAGCAATTTCAATGTCATTACTAATGATTAAGGGTAATCTAAACGCGGAAAGGTACGTCGGTAGGCGACTCCTCGATTCACTGTAATGGCAAGATGCAGACGAGATCCAAGATGGTAAGATCCAAGACACAGATGCGACGTTACCACTTTTCGCTCGTCGCGGCCTTGTATTAGAGGTGGCTGTGCTTCAACGCACAGCTTGAAGGCAAGACAATATTCTCCAAAATAGATCTTGACAAAGCCTACCACCACATTCCTGTTCATCCAGATGATGTACCTAAAACAGCTTTTATTACTCCCTTTGCTTTGTTTAAGTTTTTATGCATGCCATTTGGATTAAAGAACCCAGGTCAAACCTTTTAATGCTTCATTCACCATGTTTTGTGAGACCTTACGTTCGCATATTCCTATCTAGATGACATCTTAATTGCTTCTGAATCTGGAAAGGAACACGAGCAACATGTTCGCCTTCTTTTTGAATGCTTATCCAAACACGGCCTCTGCATTAACTCATCAAAATGTGAGTTTTCCGTCTCAGAGATTTCATTCCTAGGTTATCGAATCAACAAAAGTGGAATATTTCCATTGCCTAAACAAGTTCAAACAATTCTAAACCATCCTCTTCCTGACACAGTTGATCAACTTAGAAAATTTGCAGGAATTGTTAACCTCTATAGGAGATGACTACCAAATTCAGCAACAATACAAAAGACCCTATATGACCTTTGTTCATCGTCCAAACAAAAGGACAAAAGCAAAATACAATGGAACGATAGCGCCAAAGAGTCCTTCAACAGGTTGAAAACAGAACTGGCTAATGCTACTCTGATTTACCATCCTTCCAGCAATCTTCCCATCATCCTCCCAGTTGACACTTCAAATTTCGCTATCGGGGCTTCTGTCTAGCAAATGAGAGGAACTAACCCAAAACCGATTGGGTTCTGTTTGTTTTTTTTTCTAAAATCCTCACCAAAACTCAACAGAACTAAAGCACTTACAACCGTGAACTTCTGGCTGCATATGAAGCAGTCAAGTACTTCAAACTTTACCTAGAGGGCCATCACTTTATTATTCTGACAGATCACAAGCCTCTTTGCTACGCAAAGAGATTTGAACAGCGCCCTATAAAACCGACCCCTAGGCAACAATGACATTGTGACTACATCAGTCAATTCACTACTGATATCCGTTACATTCCCTGGAAACAAAATCGTTCTGCAGATGCATGCTCTAAGATTACAGTAATTGCACTGTCATCAACTGTATCACTTACAGACATCCGCTCATGCTAAAAAAGAATGTAATGAACTCAAACACATCCAACAATCCAACTCATCATAATTTACATTCAAAACCATGACTCTTGATAATGGGCTTCAATTGATTTTTAATTCTTCGACTGGAACTTTGCGACCTTTCATCCCTCGTACCTACCGAAGATCTCTCTATGTCTCCATTCATAATCTCAGCCTGGAATTGCCGCATCAGTCAAACTACTTCAAGAGAGATTCTGCTGGCCTTCGCTGAAACACAATGTTACATTGTGGGCCAAAACTTGTATTCCTTGCCATCGCTGTAAAACATGGCAGCACACTTCTAGTGAACTTGGTGCCTACCCTACTGCCGAAAATTGATTCTCTCGCTTGAATGTTGATGTTGTTGGATCGTTACTTCCTTCAAGAGGATATCAGTACCTGTTAACCATCATCGATAGGTTTTCAAGATGGACTGAAGCGATACCAATCTCATGCATCACTGCGAAAGAAGTTGCTTTCACTATTTTGCACTCATGGATATCTCACTTCGGTGTTCCTCGTTTTATTACTACTGATAGGGTAAGGCAGTTTGATTGTGAATTTTTTTCATCATTGACAGCCATGCGTGGCATAAATCACATAAAAACTTCAGCTTACCATCCTGCTGCAAATGGAGCTATTGAAAGGTGACATCGCTCCTTAAAAACGGCTCTCAAAGCTCAACTAACAGCAGACTGGGTTTCCAAACTTCCGTCAGTTCTGCTTGGACTTCATTCAAACATAATACCAGAAATAGGAGTTTCACCTGAACAGCTCGTCTATGGAGAACCAATCACACTTCCTGTTGATTTCTTTGAAGAGTCCAAGCTGCCAAATGACATCCCTAAATTACTCACTCGACTTCAAGACCATGTCAAATCAACTCGTCCTGTGCCATTTTGCCATCATCACAAACGATCAATTTTCATCCACCCTGATCTCATGACCTCATCTCATGTCTTTATTCGTCATGACGCCATAAGAAAGCCTCTTCAACCAACATATGAAGGGCCTTTCAAAGTTGTTTCAAGAGGTAACAAGCATTTTAACATACTATTGCCACGGGTTGAGGATACCGTTTCTATTGATCGGCTGAAACCAGCATTTATTCTTAAAAGTCATCTTCAGCCTACACAGTCTCAGACCGATAAAACAATGGAGTCAGATGCACTGGTGAAATAAGCTGAAACAGACTCATCCCCAACAAGACCTCGAAACATCACGACTCAACAGCCTTCAACCCAACCTGGACCTTCTGGAATTGTCACTGAATGAAAAACCCACTTGGGACGTGTTGTGAGGTTCTCTTCCAAATACCTCACATGAAACTTTGTGCTGTCACTGGGAGGGGAGTATGGGGCTGTACCTATCCATCTGTCAGTATTCAATTGATTTTAATTAAAACATATGTTAGCAATTATTGTTAACTAATTATTTACTTTCTTGTTTACCTTTATATTTTTTTTTGATGTTGTACTTTTTGTCCATACAATAAATCCTCTAAAATGTTAATTATATTATTTTACTAATCATTGTATATCACCACTAACCACAGGCCGAATTATTTATGATGTGAACTGTTTTATTACATTTTTAGGAAATGGAAATAAAAAAACTCGCTGCACAAGGTAATCATGATGGGTGTAAGTTATTGGCCAAGCAGCTAATACAAATGCGAAAGCAGAAAAACCGAACATATGCAGCCAACAGTAAGGTACGTAAATATCCAATAGTTAGACTATGTTTTATATTTAAAATATTTTTAGACAGAATCTAGCTTTTCTAAAGGTATATTTGGTTGAAACATAGTAGTATATTTGAGGAAGTACTAATTTCATAGCCCCTATAGCAGAAAATCATAATCTCTTTTTTGTCACAACCTCCCTAACCTCAACTCTTACCCTTGTATTTAATTGTGGTTATGAATTATATCAACAGTTTTTTTTTTTTTTAAGGGAGAGGAGGGAAAATGCTTTTACACACACAGGTAGCCAGCCTGTAGTGTGAGACTCCTAAATCTATCGCAGACTACTCACTAAAAAACCCCCTCTACTCTGTTGGACACAGACCTTGAATTGTTTGTCACATTACTTCAAGTCAGGCCAACATGTTACCTAAGCCCTCAGGGCTCTCACCGTTTTTGGCATTTGGATACTTCATGACCTACACCGCATCCCGGTCAAGGTCGAGCTTCTTGGCGCGGAGAATACCCTGGATGTAATGTGACACACAGGTCCAATTGTCCTCACCCTCCGTCATCATCGGTATGACCTTGTCCACCGACAGCAGTCCTACTAACTGTTGAGCCTCCAGGCGGGGCCTTTCCCAACGCTGGCAGTGGAAAAAGGTATGTTCCACGTCATCGGGAATGCCTGGGCAGTATATGCAATCGGGTGACACGGCTTTGCCCATCCTGAAAAGGTACGACCGGAAAAAGCCGTGGCCCGTCTGAAATTGGGTGAGGTAGAAGTCCACCTCTCCGCACCGCCGACTAACCCAAGGTTGGACTTGCTTTATCAGTCGCCTGGTCCAGCGTCCCCGAGTCTCCTGTTCCCAGCTCTCCTGCCACAGCTGGTAGGTGCGGGTGCGTTCCTCTGTTCGTGCCTGGTCCTCCCCACGGCGCTGATAAATTGATTTTCTATCCGCTGCCAAAAGTTTGACAGGGATGACTCCAGCAACCACCAGGACGGCGGGTTCGGACACTGTTCGGTAGGCGGATGCAACTCATAGTGCTGCCTGACGCTGCACTAGGGCGAGCCGCATCCTATATACCTCCTTATTTAGAGCGTCTGCCCACACCTCAGCACCGTACAAGAGTACGGACTGGACAGAAGACATTAACAGCCTTCTACGGCTGGACCGAGGACCTCCGATATTGGCCATCAGCCGGCTAAGAGAGGAGACCACCTTAGCGGCCTTGTCCGCCGTACGGAAAATCTGATCCCGCCAGCTAAGCTTGCTGTCCACCATCAAGATGTATCGAGTAAAAGAGGTGGGCCAGACAGAGCGGACTGCGCGCGATGACGTCACTGCAGTCCCGGCCGCGGCTGCCTCGCCGCTAGGTACATGCTAAACGCACAAACCTTACTTTTTCAGACACGATTTAAGCTGGTTTGAAGGAAGTATTTCCCGTTATGACACAAATATGATTGTGTACTAAATAATGATTTTTACGATTTTGAACTAACATGAATTGTGAACAGTTTGACAATAGTAAATAACCAATTATGCCTGTATGTTGCATAGAAAGCGATGAAATGCGGGAGTCTACCGATTCAGTTGGAATAATAAATACACTTTAGAATAATTTTAGAATAAGATATAACACTCCCCTTTTCCAGGTTAGTTAATAAAATATATGTTTAGCACTAGGTAAAAAAGTTGCCTGTTTAAAAGTTACTTCAACTGCTTTTTGGTATTAGTTATAAATGAAACGCCATCCTTTTTCATTTTTCATTTTTTCTTTTTCTATTTAATGTTAAACTTATTTGGGTTTGTTGATACAAAAAAAAACAACCAATTATATAATATTTTATATGAGAATCATAAAATGTTGCTTACAAATCAAAGTTAACTATGATACTGTATTACTATTTTACAGGAATTAAATAAACCACAAAAATCTGTTTGGATAAATGGCATTGACCAAAGAATACTTTTAGAGAATACTAATGGTATTCCCCGAGGAAAGTTTGGTTCACAGGTACTTTTAAAGAAAAAATATTAATTACTTTTGTAAATATATGTTAATTAATACATATATTTCATTTTAGACTTTATTATTTTCGTGTTAAGAGGATTTTCTCATTTATGTAAGTGCACGTTTGTTCGGTGTTTTTATACGAGTTTACTTTCTGAAAACTTTACTTTTCTTTCTGAGGAAAAAATTGCTAGGTATGCGGTTTTCTCTAGCTATATATAATGACAGTTACCTATTTTAAGACTAAAACTCAATCCGACATAAGAGTCATATTTTATTCGCAAAAAAATACGCTTTGTCTTTATTGAAAGGTGCAAAAGAAACGATTTTTGGATTTCAAACATTTTTATATTTGTTTATTTTGAAGATGTTTAAAGGAATTAATTTTATGATTATTGGGTTTGGGGAATGTTTAACATTCGTGAGCCCTGAATGAAACTTGTGTCTACTGAACACAGTATTATCGCAGTGATGCGAAGGAATGCTCGACAAAACGAAAATTCAGAAAACTTTACCGGGGAAACAAAAAAAAAATTGTGCAATCTGTGTTGTAATAATAAAACACCGTAATGTAGGCAAAATGAAAATTGAGAGTTTGGAAAAGGAATTTTTTAAATTGAAAATTGAATATTTAAAATGCTTTGATATGAATAAATGACCATGTGAAGAAAGTAAAGACATTATGCCATACGCCATAAAGTTAATTGTTTACCTCTAGACCGTCTTGAGCTATTTGCTCATAGAAGAATAGTAGAGTCTAATGATATTGAAGTTTTTTAAACAGGCAAAAACAAATGAACGGCAACAAAAATCAAAAATAATCAACTAAGAAACGTCATCGTCGCAGTACTAAATTTAAGAGTAAGTAAAAGATTTAAAGAACTCTAATAACGCAATGTGTTTATATCTGATTGCATGTCCAATGGTGAGAGATACACCTTGTAAATAAAGTGTTTTTATTTAAAATGTGTTTTCTTTCCATTCATAAAAATATCAATCTCCATTCCTAATTACACTAATCTAATGATGATTGTACATTACCAAAAGCTACGTTTATTTGGTATATCTGTATAGTGAAAACTGTTTGTTTGATTTAATTAATAATTTGAAAAATCCTAAGGGTACCTATCTAATTTAGTTACTAATATATTCATGAACCAGTTAAGTAGGCTATCCTAAAAATATATACATCATAAAATTAGATGCTATATATCGGATCAGAGTAGATCCTTAGTGATATAACAACAATTGCAGAAATGGACATCAATTTAATCAACAATTGCAGAAATGGGCATCAATTTAATCAACAATTGCTCTAATATTTTAGTAGTAATATAATTAGGCATAACATATTAATATATTGAAACCCAAGCAAAACCAATTTTAACAATTGCGTAGTACAAACTGGCGTAAACAACGCAATATAACATCTAAAAGTGTTGTGTACGGGCTGTGAGTAGTGGCTCGAGGACTGCAGTGACGTCACTGCCTCAGTCCGATGGGCGAGGGGGGAAGAGGGGCGCGCTCTGTCTGGCCCACCTCTTTTACTCCATGCATCTTGGTCCACCATAACCCCAAGGTACTTGGCAGAACGAACGGTCTGAACTTCGACGGCCCCTACCCTCAACGGTTTTTAAGTTAATATCACGATCTCAGTTTTGCTCAAAGCAAGCGAGAGACCGTGGTCTGTCATCCATGCGTTTATAGTACGCATAACTCGGTTCAGCTATTTATATCAACAGTATTACTTTATCAAGTTATAGAAATTGACCAGGAGGATTAAACAGAGCCGGGTTTGGTTAGTGCGGGACCCAGTGCAAAAACTCAGAGCCTCTTACTAGTAGGCCTACCTACCAAAATGTAGTACCAGAGTCCAGAAAATAATGACTAGCAAAAATATCAATGATTGATATAAGCATTATTTATACTCCCCACTTTTTTATTTTTTCATAATTATTGACGGTAATTAATGTAAAATTCACAGACTTTTTTTATAAATTTGTTTATTAAGGCTAAACATCCCAGGTTTAGTTCCAAATTTTGCCACCACGTCGCAGCACCAAAATGGAGTCATTTTGTGTTGGTGTTTATTGGTGGAATTTTCATCCGATTTTCATTTTGAAAACTGATTTGTGAACGGGATAAGATAACAATTTACGCCATTGAAGATAAATTTGAATTAAGTCGCTGGTTAAAAAAATTATAGTGAAATAATTTTGTTACAAAATAAAAAATGAAAATTGCAGGTAGTCATTTTAAAGTAGGGATGGACGAGATTGGATTTTTAGTTCGAGACGAGACGAGACAAGATTTTTTATTTCTCATAAAATTTCGAGACGAGATCGAGATGGGATTTCCCTTCTCATACACAACGGGAAATGCACGTTCAAAATTTTTACCTGATTTTGTAACATTGTTAGATGACTGTTTAAATACAAAAATAATGATAATAGGCAAGAATATTTACAATCTTTTATTAAAAAACATCAGCATAACATTTTTTTATTAATCACGCCTAACTTATTAAAAATGCCTACGATTAGGAAACATAGTGATATCAGTTAGGATAGAGTTCAACTTATCCTAAAATAAAATAAATCATAAAATAAAAGCAATATTAATTTTTATAAAATAGTTACTTGTTTTGACTTTTTATAGTAATAAAACATTCCTCACACTGCTTACACTTAACAAAACTTCTCAAATGTTATTAAAGTAATATTATTAAAATAATTAAAGTAATATTTACATTTAAAGAATTAAATAAGAACGCCTTCGCAAAGGAAACACAACTACAACACGCTCCTGTATTGCGGGTATTGCATTGACTTTCTGCAGGCGTTTTTTAATTTTTTTTTAATTTTTTTTTTTTATTCTCGTCTTGATAAAAATCTCGGCCAAAATGAAATCTCGTCTCGTATAACGAGATTTAAAATTTCCCGAAAATTTCCCGAAATTTCGAGACTTGACCATCCCTATTTTAAAGACAATAATTTTTAATTAATTTTACTTTT